ATCATGTTATCATCATCAAGTACATTGATTACATAGGTGTCATGTAATCATCATCAAGAACAATCAAATTGATTAAATGTGAAATCATGTTATCATCATCAAGTACATTGATTACATAGGTGTCATGTAATCATCATCAAGAACAATTATATTGATTACATAGGTGTCATGTAATCATCATCAAGAATAATTATATTGATTAAATATGCCATCAGGTAATTATCATTAAATATTTATCATCATGATTCATCAAATTGACCATATGATAATATGTGTCATATCATGAATGTTACTATACATTTTGTGGACGTATATATATGTATATGTATATGTCTGAGAATCATTCTACAATTCTAGCGTGGTACCACACAGCGGTTTCGCTGAGCGTGTAGTTTGTATTTTTCGTTGACTACACGTAGGTAACAAGAAGACAATGATGGAACCACTCCCGGAGGGCATTGAGTCAGAGGAGATGCAAGGATGGCAGGCAAATGTTTATCATCAGATTTTTAAATGTGTCATGATTTGATTATTATTGTACTTCCGCATTACTCTGAAAATATTTTTTATATGGGTCGCGATCCAGAGTCTGTAAATTTGATATTTATAAGTAATTGTCATTCTCAAATGTCAAGCGAAATTTTTATTTTACTCTCGTTTCACCTTAATTCGTGTAATTCCGGGTTATACGGATTGGGGTGTTACACCTTTTCAGTTCCAATTTCCTGCCCAGGCACACAGCAAAGTAGTTGGGCAGGTTGGGGGTCCAAACATCAGCTTTCTTAGGGGAAATATTGAGACAATAGTTTTCCAAGAGTACAAACATCAGGTCCAAACTATTATCACCCATGGGCATTGGACAACTAGTTCATTCAATATGAAAGATCAGACCAAAATACCAATTCAATTTAACTAGCCACCACATTGAATAATTGCAAGTCACGCACCATAGCAAGCCATCAAGAAAAGAGGAACATAAATTGGTGCAAAGATTAGATCAGGCAAATAGGACACAACCTATACAAGTGAATAGATTTTCATATTCGATTAGAATTTGATTCGATCCGATTAGATCTGTTTTGGTCTGATTCAATCTAATTAGATCCGATATGATGCATTTAAGGATTAGATGAGGCAAATATGACACGAACTATACAATTAAATTGTCTTTTAATATTTGATCTGATCTTACTAGATTTGAATTTGATTTGATTTGATTAGATCTGTTTTGGTCTAATTTGATCTGATCTGATGTATTTATAGATTAGATCAGCCAAAAAGGACACGACCAATATAATTAAGTTGTTTTTTTAAGATTTGATCTGATCTTAATAGATTTGAATTTGATTTGATCTGATTAGATCTGTTTTGGTCTGATTCAATCTAATTAGATCCGATATGTTTTTTTAAATATTTGATCTGATCTTACTAGATTTGAATTTATAGATTAGATCAGCCAAAAAGGACACGACCAATATAATTAAGCTGTTTTTTAAGATTTGATCAGATCTTAATAGATTTGAATTTGATTTGATCTGATTAGATCTATTTTGGTCTGATTCAATCTAATTAGATCCGATATAATTTTTTAAAATATTTGATATGATCTTACTAGATTTGAATTTAATTCGATCCGATTAGATCTGTTTTGGTCTAATTCGATCTAATTAGGTCCGATTTAATGCATTTAAAGATTATATAAGGCAAATATGACACAACCTACACAAGTGAATAGATCTTCTTTGAAGATTTGATATGATCTTATTGGATTTGATTTGATCCGATTAGATCTATTTTGGTATGATTTTATCTAATTAGATCTAATCTAATGCATTTAAAGATTAGATCAGGCAAATAGGACACAACCTATATAAGTGAATAGATTTCCTTCACGTTTTGATCTCATCTTATTGGATTTGAATTTGATTCGATCCGATTAGATCTATTTTGGTCTGATTTGATCTAATTAGATCTAATCTAATGCATTTAAAGATTCGATCAGCCAATAGGACACAACCTATGCAAGTGAATAAATTTTTTTGAATATTTGATCTGATCTTATGAGAGTTGAATTTGATTTGATTCGATTAGTAAAGTTATATTGTTGGGTAGTGATTGACGAATCAAATCCAACGACGCGAACGAATCTCAATTTAGAGCAAGTTTGCACGAAAAGTATGTATTATTGAGGCAAGTTATTTTAATTACAGCGCAAATTATCAGAACCCATTCTTCTTCTTCGATTGAACGCTGCCACAAGACCCTTTTCTTCTTCGATCAGGGTCGCGACCAACCCTCCTCTCAATTTCCGATTCAGCAACGCCTGCGACAGACTACAAAGGCGCAGTGACTCAATTCATGGAGACGGTCGGCGAGTTTCCTTCATCGATTCAACAACAGCAACCGCCTGAGGAGGCGGTGCTCTGGCGACGGTGAGAGAACTCCGGTGAAGCGCAGCAGCAATCGGCGACTTCCCTCTGGCGACGTCCAGTCAGCCACAACCATCTATTCCGGCGAACCAGCCCAGACATCATGCGGTTCATCTCTGCTCTGGCGACTGAACCAACGGCGGGAATTGAGCCAGCGAAATCTGGCGAGGAATCTGGTGGCGAGCCTCTGCTCCAGCGAGAATAGCAGTAGCGGCGTCTAGACGGCAGACCAGTCTCTGACAGTCATTGTTGATAAAATTCACGTGCAGGTGTTCATCAGTCCAGAAGTCAAGGGCTTACTTCTAGCGCTTTCAGGTCAAGTTCAAGAGAAGATGAGGCTTGAATTTTGAATAGACCTTTGAAATCGAATTTAGCTTCGTCAATGGGTTTCTTTCTGTTAGATCTCTCATGTTTCTGTGTTTTGTGCAGAGGGAAAGATAGATTACAAAGCTAGGACTCGGCTGATCAATCAGGACAAGAACAAATATATCACCCCGAAATACCGCCTTGTTGTTCGATTTGTATGTGCTACAACTTTTTGGTTTATTTACCTAATGTAACTTTTTCAGTTCGTGGTGTTCATCTTGAGTCTTTTCAATTTTCAATTATTAAATGCGCAGGAATGATGTAATGGAGGATAGATTTAGTGTGTTGATAATGTTGGTGAATCAATTAGCTGCAGATGGATTCTATTGTAATTATACAATGGAATTTCGCAGGTAAGTTATGATTAATTTATTCATAATTAGAGAGTATTATTATTCATTTCGCTAACAATTCTGATGATGATATGGTTTATAATTGGTTTTGGTATATATGGAAAAAAGGCTACAAAGAGCACACTTTATGGGATAATCGACACAGTTTCTGCAGTTCATCCTCTTACGCCACTACTAAGCTTATTGAAGACCAATGGTAAGCTTGTATTGGTTGGTCTCCCGGAGAAACCCCTTGACTTGTTGGCGTTTCCCTTGATCATGGGTATGTAATATTATCCACACTTCCATTCACGTGTTGTACATATCTCTGCTCCGCCTTGGCATTGATCTAAAATGAACTAAATGACATTAATTTCATTTTTTGATTGTGGATCGCAGACAGAAAATTGGTTGCAGGAAGTGGCATCGCTGGAATAAATTAAAGGAGACTCAAGCCAAAATAACATCACGCCCGATGTTGAGATTGTGCCGATGGACTATGTCAACACCGCCATGGAACGCCTAGCCAAAGCCGACGTGAAATACGGATTCGTATTGGATTTTTCCACAGTGGAATAGGATGGATTGAAAAGGCAGGCATTTAGAATATGCAAATTGTAAGGAAGATGATGTAAATATTAAATTATTAGATGTTAATAGTATTTTAAATGTATCAATTTATATATTGTTCAATATATTGTATTTTTTGAATTTATATTTATTTGGTAATCAACACAAGATAACAGCTGTCTAATAAAAAATATAACTACCATTCAAACTAATAGTTTGAAGAGTATATGTACAACTACACAAACTCGTAGTATTAATAATATTTAGACGATCAAAACAAACAGTTGTTTGAAATACTACAAAAGCAGTTCATATTTTTAAAATACAACGCGAAATTATGGTTGTTTGAAGCAAATTTCTTTAGTAATCTTTAGAATAGCTGTCTCATAAACAATTCAACTACTGTCATAAAAGATAGTTTGAATACATCAAGAAAAACTACAAAACACCGTTGTGTTAATAATCAATATACAACTAAAACAAACAGTAGTTTGAATAAGAATAATGTTAGTAGTCCATATTCTAGAAATACAACAAAAGATAATAGTTGTCTGATGGCATTTTTGTTTAGTAGTCTTTCGAGTAGCAGTCTGATATATCTTTCAATTACTTTTTAAAGTAGATGTCTATATTGTTGAACGACAACACCAAGAATTAGATGTCTAAAGTTAAAAACAACAGTAGTATTCATTATACATAGACAACAAAAAATCACAGTTCTCTTTAACTCTAAAAAACAGATGTCTTACTCAAACAAGGACAACACTAAAAAGTCATACTCTAAAACATTACAAAACAGGTGTCGTCAACCATTTTACACAACTGTTTTTAAACAATAGTCTGTAAATATATTAGACAGCTGCTCGGAAGACTACTGAAATCAACACCGTGAGACTACTATAAGAAACAGTTGTCAGCATCTGTTTTTGATGTAGTGTTTACAATGAACTGACAACTTGTTCGATCAAATTCAAGGAACCCGTTTGTTAGAAGCTATAGACAGCTCGACCTGGTTGAATGAACGGATGCCTTGTTATAATGACTTAATTGCTTATCGTCGAAAACATTAGTGAAATAAAGTGATGTTGACAAGGAAAATAGTTAAGAAAATTGACTCGTTCGTATACGCTATTGACGTGAAAGATCGCGATGTGGGACAATACAAAACAAGACGTGAGATAGTGACACCAACGGTGAAAGACTAAAGAATGAAGAAAATATAGCTCGCACTGGTCATACAGCCTAGAATAATATTTATGGAAAATATCATTTCAACATACAACTTGGATCGTATGAGGAATGTTATAGATGCAATTCTAAATCTAATCTCCCAGGATTTGCAAACTTGTCATAACTAGCCCCAGGACCCGGGAAAGCTTTAGCAAACTCTAGTTCGTCTAAAAGCTCATCAACAAAGAAAGAAGAGATGAAAAGTTTCCCCTGATTCAAAGCCATGAAGTTCTGCCTCACCACATCATCTAGAAACTTGATTAGGTTATTGAAATAACCGTCAATGTTCAAAAGACCAATGGGTTTATTGTGCAACCCTTCAGGTGCCCATGAAATCAAGGTGAACAAACCTTCCATAGTATCAATTCCTCCGGGAAGTACGATGAAAGCCTCCACAATATGATTCATCTCAAAAATACTTATAGTAATTGCTGGAAACGGTGTACTTCACACCGTACGTAGGTCCATAAACCTATCGTGTTGCTATATACCCTGGGATGAAACCTCTGACTCTACCACCATTGTTATAGACTGCTGAAGCAACAGCTCCTTGAAGGCCAACGTTGCCTCCTCCATAGGTAAGGCTAATTTTTCGCTTTACCAATTCCCGTCCTAAATCTACCGCTATAGCCATGAACCTTGGATTGCTACCAAGTGCATGACTACCAAGAAGACCAACAAATCTTATGGTATAAGAAAGAGCTTGAGAAGTTCCTTCCATAATGTGAAAATGTGAGATACTCTTTCAATAATCGTGATATATATAGTCTCTGAAACCCAACCATTGATGGAAAAGTAATTATCACCAGCCAAAATACGTACAGTAAAATGGATTCAAATTACCTATAGACGAGAACGTACTCGCTAACACTATAGTTTGCTGACGATATGACGTATTGAGACTCTTGAATAGTTAGATTCGCTGTCCTGAAACACGTTCAAATCTTGTTAGAATAATAGACCAACGCTAGAGGGGGGGGGGGGTGAATAGCGTTTGATCGTAGAAATCGCAGGAATTAAAAAATTTAAAAGAGATGTAAAGAGAAGAGTAAGAGGCACACCAAATTTACCCTGGTTCACCACAACTTGTGGCTAATTCAGGCTCTCGAGAGACTCTCTCTAGCTACACTACTATCTCGTTAAGCTTAACGGTGCTTAACAAACCCTTACAACTTGAGAGTTCGAGTCACACGAACCTCGACAAATCCTTCAAAGGAAACAGTCCTTCCTTTGAATCAACCGAGAGAAATACTTTCTCTCAACGTGTCTAGCAACACAAATACACTCAAGAACGAGACTCTCTTATAGAGTAGATGATGAGTAAACTAAGTACGCTCAAGAACAACTCAACCTTCACACAAAATGGCTCTAAAAAGCTATGGAAAAGAATGTTGTTTGAATGCAATGAAAATATGAATATTGTGAAGTGAATTGATAAGAAAAGCAGACCCAAATACCCCTTTTTATAGTGCCAAAATAGGCTCCAACGGACCAATCCATTAAAGGGGTGAATGGCTTGATTTAAGGGATTGGATAAATTTGGGATCTGCAGGATATTGGCTTCCCATCGATGTTTAGACTCACCCATCGCTGGTAAGCCAAATTTCCTTCAGTTTTGAAGCCAATGGTCACCTACCCATCGATGGGTAAATGCTTCCCATCGCTGGGTGGGAGGTTGACTTTCAAACAAGGAAAGAATCAGCCTTAAATGACTTGCAACGGTCATGCCTTCCCATCGATGGTTTAGCCTTACCATCGCTGGGTTCCCATCGATGGGATAAGTTCCCCATCGCTGGGTAAGGTCGTTCTGCCTTGTGTTGATGTTGGACCAAGGCTTTAACCGCGATGGGTAGAACATCCCATCGCTGTTTGGCATGGTTCTGGAAGTTGGTTTGGCTTAGGGACCGCTTACCCATCGATGGGAAGATCTTCCCATCGCTGGGTGGGTGGTTAGCCAAAAACCCATGGTCTTTGCCTTAACCACGGCCTAGCCAACCGATGCGAAAACCGACCGAAAAATCCAAAGTTCTCCAAAATAAAAACCAAGTGTTTGAAACACTTATTTGATGTATTTGGCTAAGAAATCAAGTGAGTTACTTTAAAAACCACGTCATTTGAGTAAAAACCACGGCTAGCCAAGTTTACGCCGCTTTGCGTGGTTTTTGTCAAACGACCAAAAGCGAAAGATGGTTTTCAAAGTGTTTTTGTTGGAGAATCATTTAAACATGCCAAAAAGTGGAAACCAATCATAAAATGCTGAAAACCACTTGGTTCGTTCGGATGCCAAAAACCAATGCCGATAACCGAAAGCCGAATGCGGGTTTCTGAAAGCCGAACACTAGATGGCTTGGTTTTTGGTTTGCGTGAACACCAAGTGTTTTTAAAGACTTAAACAAGTTTGAAAAACATTTTTATGATGTAAGAAATGCAATGAAAGATTTTAGCCTAAAGAGCCAAGGTGTAAAGATTGGGTCGGTCTTGATCCCAATAAAGACCGACTCAACGATACTAAGACTAAGGTCTTTGTTCTTGGTATTCGTTTAGCTCTTGTTCTTATCTTCGTTCTTTGCCTTGTATATTCAAAGTTTGACTTGATCACGGCGGTTTGGCATTATCAAAACCTGTCATAAAAACAAACACGGCTTTAGTACGAAAAACGTGACAAGCCCGTGTTTCAACAATTTCCCCCCTTTTGATAATGGCAAACGAGATGAGGTTATGCATATGAGGATTGTTTTGATAAAAAAATGTTCCCCCTTAATAGATTCCATTTTATTTTTAACAAAGTAAAAATTCCCCCTTAATTTATGCATAACCGTGATATCTTCCCTCTTTTGACATTAACAAAAAGAATTAAAAGTAAACTTTAGAATTTTAAAAGTAAACTTTTATTCATTAAAAAGGGAAATGCGGAATACAACGGAATGGAAATAAAAAGTACAATCATAGTAAGGTGAGAAGAGAAAAGAAGAGTCTAGGCATCGGCGTGCTCGTCCTCATCGTCATCCTCGTCGTCCTCGACGTCCATGAGATCGCCGTCGACCGCATCTTCAAAGTCGGCCTCGTTGGGGGAGGAGGACGGAGCGTAGGAGTCGTCGTCCTCGTCCTCGCCTTCAAAGTTTTGGCCGAGAATGGTGCTGTCGAAAGGTGGCGGAACGTAGTTGACGCCACGGAAGTATGCCATCATGTCGTGGTGTTGGCGTTGCAACGTCGAGTCCATCCGCTCGATTGACTGCCCCATGCCATCCATTGTGAGGGTTAGCCGATTCAGAGTATCGGCTATGGATTGCAAAGAGGCCTTGGCGGGAGCGGGGGCTGGTGCACGACTTGGGCCTGCGCCGTCTCTATTTCCGGACTTCTTCCGGAAGGTGCTGTCGGCGATCATCCAAAGCTTCGTCATCTTCATGTCTGGCCCGGCGATGTGGATATTGGCGGAGACGATGATGTCCATGATGAGGAAAGCGTACGGCAAGCTCCGCTCGGTGGCGAGTGAGGCGCAATCCACCATGTGTATCATGACAAATTTTGCCCAATTGATGGAGGCGCCGTGGATGATTGCATGAATCGCCTTCAAATCATCGTTGAAGAGCGAGGTATGGCTGCTGTCCCGGGGGCGAAGACTCCGGGTGATGATGTAGAGGAGGAGGCGCTTGTCCGGTGGGGCTGAGTGAATCGTCAGCGCGCCGCTGTGGCGGATCAAGTTGGTGATCCCAAGCTCATGAATGACGACCGCCTCGTTGTTGAGGATCCAATCGTCGCCACCATAAGTCGCGATGTCATCACCGCGGATGGGCAGCCCTGCGACCCGAGCAAAGGTAGGCAAATCAATCTCTATGTCGTAGAGATTGATGCTGCTGTGTATGGTGTCCCCGTCACGGCGAAGATTGGAGTAGAAGGCCTGGACAAAGGCGGGATTGTAGGACTGACGGCTCCTGGAGACGAACGAGCATAGACCTGATGCTTGAAGCTGATTGTCGAGGTCGTGGTACCCCTTTTGTTGAGGGTATAGCTCGAGCAGCACCCTGGGCGGAGAAATCGGGCATTTGGCAAAGTGATTGAGGAAGCATGTGAGTTCTTCATCCGACCCGAACTCAAGAAATGAGCCGTCTAGATAGGGAAACGGCTGGGGCGCAGAGGTCGTAGCTTCGATGTTGGTCTTCTTCTTGGAGGCCTTGCTTTTAGATTTTCCTCCGGCCATAGCAGCATTTATGAAGAAGAAAGAATGAAATTTGATTAGGAGATTGAATTTGGGATGTAAATTTGTGATTAGGAATGATAAAACAAGGTGTGTATATATAGGGAAGGGGTGGAAACCGGATTGAGTTCAAAAAATATGACTGTTGGGCATTAAATTCGTTGCCCAACGGTCAAAAAATTTTGAATCGCAGTAGGCTTCCCAGCGATGGGTAGAAGTTCCCATCGATGGGAAGGTCGCCACTGGAAAGCGAAGGGGAAAACTGAACTGCCTTCCCAGCGATGTGTGGATTCTCCCATCGATGGGAAGGTGGATTCTGGAAAGTGAAGGTTAAAAGACGAAAGCCTTCCCAGCGATGTTAATACCATCCCATCGCTGGGTTGGTGATTTTGGGAATCCGATAAAAATTTTTAAAAAAGATAGTATCAAACACCCAGAGATGGGAATGGGTTCCCATCGATGGGGTGAGATACCCATCGATGGGTAAGGTGTTTCTGGAAAAAAACGTTAAGAGATTTTAAAAAATAAGAGTCAATTACCCATCGATGGGAGAAGGTACCCATCGATGGGAAGAGGGGTTCTGGAAAAAGTGAAGACTTCCCTCCCAGTGATGGTATAGCCCACCCATCGCTGGTTCCCCCTGATTTCCAGAATTCTACACTTCGACCGTCCTTGCAAAAAGGAGTTAGAAAACCCTCCGACGCTCAAGTTAGTAAACGTTCAAGCAAAGATAAAGAGTGAAAAAAAATGCACAAATTAGATCATCGTGGAGTCAAGGATTCCGAGTTCACTACGAATGCGGAAGAACGACTCTTTCTCTAGAGGTTTTGTGAAGATGTCGGCTAATTGGTTGTGTGTTTCAACAAACTCAATTTCGACATCACCTTTGAGAACATGATCTCTAATGAAATGGTGCCTAATGTCAATGTGTTTCGTCCTTGAATGAAGAACGGGATTCTTCGTCAAGCTTATGGCGCTAGTATTGTCACACCGAAGTGGAACGTGACTGCTACTAAGGCCATAGTCCACAAGTTGTTGCTTCATCCAAAGAGTTTGAGCACAACAACTACCGGCGGCAACGTATTCCGCTTCGGTTGTGGATAACGCAACACTGACTTGTTTCTTGCTAAACCATGAAACTAAGGAGCTACCAAGTAAGTGGCAAGTCCCACTCGTACTTTTACGGTCCAATTTGCAACCGGCAAAGTCTGAGTCGGAATAACCAACGAGATGACACGAAGAGCCTTTTGGATACCACAGTCCAACGTTAACCGTGCCGACAAGGTATTTCATGATCCGTTTCACCGCTGTTAAGTGCGATTCCTTCGGACATGATTGATACCTTGCGCAAAGGCATACGCTAAACATGATATCCGGCCTACTAGCGGTAAGGTAGAGAAGGGATCCGATCATACCTCGATACTTTTTGACTTCTACTTCCTTACCTTTCTCGTCTTTGTCTAGATGGTCGGACGTGCTCATCGGGGTTGCCATGGCTTTGGCGGTGTCCATTTCAAACCGTTTTAGGAGCTCCTTGCAATATTTAGTTTGACAAATTAACGTGCCATCTTTCATTTGCTTGACTTGGAGTCCCAAAAAGAATGTGAGCTCACCCATCATCGACATTTCGAACTCGCTTGTCATTAACGTTGAGAATTCCTTGCACAAAGACTCGTTAGTAGCACCGAATATAATATCGTCTACATAAACTTGAACCAAAAGGATGTTATTGTTTTTACTCTTGATAAAAAGTGTAGTGTCAACCTTTCCCCTTTGGAAACCACTATCCAAAAGAAATTTACTCAACCGTTCGTACCAAGCACGGGGTGCTTGTTTAAGACCGTAGAGAGCTTTCTTGAGTTTGAAGACATGGTCCGGAAACTCAAAGTCTTCAAACCCCGAGGGCTGGTCAACATACACTTCCTCTTGAATAAAACCATTTAGGAAGGAACTCTTAACATTCATTTGATAAAGTTTAAAATCCATAGACGAAGCAAAAGCAAGAAGTAAGTGAATAGCTTCTAAACGTGCTACGGGTGCATAAGTTTCTTCGAAATCAATGCCTTCTTCATGATTGTAGCCTTTAGCTACGAGCCTAGCTTTGTTTCTAGTGATTATTCAATTTTCATCAAGTTTGTTACGGAACACCCATTTAGTACCAATAATCGTACGATCATCGGGCCTTGGCACCAATTCCCAAATGTCATTCCGTTTGAATTGGTTTAGCTCCTCTTGCATGGCCAAGGTCCAATGTTCATCGTTTATTGCTTCGGAAATGGTTGTAGGTTCAGTTTGAGAAACAAAAGCCATGTGTCCTACGGTGTCCCTGAGTGAGTTATGAGTACTTACCCCGCGGTTGATGCTACCGATTACCTGGTCAAGCGGATGGTTCTTGTTCGTTCTCCATGCAATGGGAAGCTCGGTTGCTTCTTCTTCGTGTTCCTCTTGTTCTTCTTCTTCCTCTTGATTTTCTTCTTCACCTTGGTTAGTCGCTTGAGGTATCTCCCCAATTTGCGGCTGCGTGTTGGTGTATATTCCCGTGTTTTCTTCGTCTTCGACGTGTATTCTCTCTAATGAATCTGCAAGATCATCACAAATATCCTTTCTCGCCAAGCTAGGATTATCTTCGGAAAATACAACGTGAGGGGACTCTTCAATGGTGAAGGTTCGTTTATTAAAGACTCTATAGGCCTTGCTACGAAGTGAATAACCCAGAAAAATGCCTTCATCCGACTTGGCATCAAATTTGCCTAAGTTGTCTTTACCATTGTTATGAATAAAACATTTGCAGCCGAAGACTCGAAGATGGGAAAGGTTTGGCTTTCTCCCTTTGTATAGTTCATAAGGCGTTTTCATGAGTATCGGTCGAATGACGGCT